TTGCCGCCCAGGTGGTGGACGACGTGAGCAATCAGACCTCTTGCCGCCTGGCGGGCCTGAAGCCAGGCACCGTCTACTTCGTGCAAGTGCGTTGCAACCCCTTTGGCATCTACGGCTCCAAGAAGGCAGGGATCTGGAGTGAGTGGAGCCACCCTACGGCTGCCTCCACCCCGCGCAGTGGTGAGCACCCCAACATGGTTGGGTGGTTATGGGACCGGCCCTGAACCAGCCTGGGCTTGGGCTTCTGTTTTCTTGTTTTGTTCCGCAGTGGTGAGCACCCCAACATGGTTGGGTAGTTATGGGACCAGCCTGGGCTTGGGCTTCTGTTTTCTTGTTTTGTTTTTCCAGGAAAGTAGAGGTCTCAAACTGGTGACCCCAGGGCTGAATTTGGCCCCGGATCTATTTTCTTTCACCTGTTACTTGAAAAACAAAAAAACACACACGCACACACAAATACCCCCAAATTTTTGGATCTACTCGCAGACATTTAAAAACAGGATGTTTTAACAAAAATATCCTATATTCCCTAGAAAAATTGTCTAGAAAATGTAACAGGACACAGCCAGCATTGCTCCACAGCCCCTATTAGCAAAGGCTTGCCCCTTCATGCCAGGTCCTGTCTTTCAAGTTGCCTCATCCCCAACTGGCCCATTTCACCAACCTGTACCCCCTCCCCAGCTCCTAAGGGCAAGTAAGTGAGTTTGAGACCCTTGCTTCCAAGGCTGAAGGGCTGCCAACTCTCCCTCTGAAGGGCCTCAGCTTCCCCTTCTGACTCAGGTAGGGGGCTGGGAATGATCAGGGGCCTGGGTCTGGCTCCCCTTGCCATCTGGGGTTCCTCTGAGCCCATGGACCCCCTTTCTCTCCTTTGTGAAATGATATGAAATCTGTTACTTGAAATGTCTGGTTTCAGCTTTACCCATCTGGAAAGTGGGGATGATAATGACTCCTATCTCAGACTATTGTACAGACTACTGAGAGATGATAACCCATGAAAAGTGCCCTCATAGTGAGCACTACCAAAGGCCCCCTTCCCCTGCTCCCCACATGGTTTCACCCCAAGGTAGGCCTCCTTTTCTCAGATGAGGACACTTTGGCCTCAGTAGGTTTAGCCAGCCCCCAAGGTCATATAGGGATCTGAACTCATTTTGCTGGAAAAACAGGCCCATGCTCACTCCTGGGATGGTGGGGAAACCAAGGCCCAGAGAGGGTCTCAGAACCAGGGAGGGGCAGAGCCTAGCTCCAGCCAGCTCCCCAGCCCCCAATGTGGGGCCCTCCAGGTTCTGGGATGGGCGGGAGCTAGCATGACTGGGAGGGGCTGAGCCTTGGCCCCTGCTCGTGCCCAGCACCTGCGATTCTTGCACGGGAGCCAGCAGGCGGCTGCGTCTGCAGAGGAGGCTGGGGAGGCTGGGGGAGGCCAGCAGGGGCCTGGGCTGTGCCAGGGCCTGTCAGCGGGTCCCCTGTGTTATTTATGACGTGAGGCCGATGTCCTTATCCGCCGGCCTGTTCAGGGCTGGCTGAGTCCAGCAGCTGGACCTGCAAGCGGGCCTCCCACCTGGCCCTCCCACCCGCTCCCGGTCCCATTGGCTCATACTCCCAGGGGCTGTCTCCTTAGGATTCTGTCACTCTCTTCCCCTCTGTCTTTCTTGTTTTTTTTGTGTGTCCCTGTTCCCCCACTTTCTTCATCCCCTCCTCCTCCCTCTGAATCTCCTTGGCTGACCCCCATGGCTTTGGTCTTCCCTGCATCTCCTGTCTCTCCTTGTCCCCATCTCGCAGTCTCTGCCTCTGTATCTCTCTCCCTTTCTCTTCCCCCTGCTCCGTCTCATCCCTCCGGCCTTGGCCTCTCACCTTCTCCCCCAGCCCCTTCCACTCACACCTGGCTCAGGCCACAGGAATCGGGTTCCTGGAGGAGATGTGGAGGAGGAGCCCCTTCCTTCCCCTACCCCCCACCTCCTCAGGGGCGCAGCTGGGCTGGGCGGTGGGGAGGACGCGGTCTCGGGGAAATGGGGGGAGGTGCCCGAGGGGAACGCGGTCCACCGCGCAGGGACCCTCCCTCCACTGTCTGCGCGCG